TCTTTGCCTACAGCCAGCACGCTCAGAGAGATCATCCCACCAGCAGCAAGGCTCTGTGTGCCTCATCCATCTTCCCAGGCCACCTCAGGGCGACCTGTCAGCCAGGCACATCCAGGAGAAGGAGATTTTCTTCCCAAAACTCAGTGTTGCTGAGGCACATGCTCCAGTAAACAATGGCTAGCCAGAGGCTGACTAAAACATCTGCCTGAAATCCAGACTGCTGCCTCTTGTGCTGAAATGTTTCCAGCTGGCACTGCCCCAGCTGCAGGTTTTTTCTTCTCCATGGGCATGTGCAATTCAAACCCTGCAGTGGCAACAGCCTCTGAATTGAAAAGCAAGTCATGCAAATCCTATTGGCACCAGGGAACTGTTATCTTGCTAAAGGTTATGGATTTCACAGGGTGTGAGGGCAGAGGGCTCCGTGCCAAGTGAGAGGTGCGAACTCTCTTTTTGGGGTCTCACAGCACAAATCCCTGCTTATAGTCAGGAAACTCTGGGCTGAGACTGATGGCAGTGTTTGGAAACTGTGTTAGTCCTCAGGCAGTAAAACAATGTTCCAGAAACAAAAGCTCTGCCTGCTCTGTATCTTACATCTCTGAATCCACCTTGTTTGTATCAGACAAGATGTGTCTGATCGGTAAAGCCCAGTGGAAAATACTTATTAACCTCTATTGACACAGTCCCAGTGCAGCCACTTCATTAATTTATCCCTCATTAGAGTCTGTTTATCCAGTCTAGGATCATTCCCTTTTAAGTACTGGTTCATGTTGATCCTCCATCAGTCCTCTGGCACCTCTCCAGTTTTCCAAAGTTTGTTAAGATCTAAAATGGGTGAAATGAGAGTACTGAGCTACTGATCTTAAGAACAGAAGTGTACATGACCCAGGCTTCTGAACTTCAAGTGTTTGTATTTAGCAGGTGATGTTTCACATCCTCCTCAGCTACAGGTTGTAAACTATTCCATCTGGTATAGATGGACCCTACTACCTTGCTCTGATGTAGTAAAGCAGTAATTATGAACACTTGGTGTGATGCTTTTCCCATCTGATGGATATAAATGGTAAGACTGTAAATAACAGAGAAGCTATTCCTAAATTAAGATTGCCAGTGATATTTTAATGTCTTCTTACTGTCTAAACATACTGAAGTTTTTATATTTCTGTTTCTGTTGCCTTGCATTCTCAATAATCTGTTTGCAACATAAATTTTATGGCAATGAATATCTCTTGTGAACTCTTCCTTCAGATCTGTCTGTCATCTATTTATCTATCTATCTATCTATCTATCTATCTATCTATCTATCTATCTATCTATCATCTTCTCTGTTGAAATATTGCTCTGGTCTGACAAAATATGAATCCATTGATGTTTAAATAATCTCTGTCTTTGTAGTTGCAGGTGTAGTAATCTTTCTCATTTGGTGAGGCCAGAGTTGTGAGTGATAGGCTATCAAAGAGTTATTTCATGTTTTTAATTAGCATCTCCTCCAAACAGTGATCTTTCAGCTCAGCTCCTCCTTTTTGAAGGGCCCAGTGGAGGGAAGAATGGTCCCTCTGGACTGTGACTCAAGTTCCTTCTGAACAAGATGGACATGGATCTCTTAGGAAGGTCAGGATAGGAGTTGGAAGATTCTAACCACCACAGAGCAAGAGCTTCACTGTCTGCAGCTTCAGGAAACCAGAGCCACAGAAAGAAGCTGCTCTGCAGGGACACCAGGCTCTTTTCTCCAGAAACAGTGCCCACCCCATGGCTGTGGCTGTGCCTGGCTCCAGCCCATCTCTCCAGGCACAGCATCCCTGCCTTTATCTCCTCGCACTCACAGCCCACCTGCTGGCTCCTCCTCGCTCACATCCAGCCCTGGCTGGAACATCCTGTACTTGGCAGGAGGATGCTCCCCAGGACAGCACAGCAGACATCCTCTAGACACCCCGGGCAAACACGAAGAGCTTGCCATACATCCAATCCCCCTGCTTTTTGCTCCATCCCCCAGCAGCTGGCAGCAGTTTATCCACCCCAGCAGGACAGCTCCCACTTGGATGAGGTATTTGGGTGCTCCTGCCAAGCAGGAGGAACATCTGCAGCGAGAAGCTGGGACCACATCCTACTTCCATAACCAGCAAGAGCTGCCAGCACGGGAGGAGGTTTCTGTGAGCACGAGATTGCTGGCAAAATGCTCATGCATCTGTGTGCTGGACTCTTTAACCTGCTCATCCTTCCCTGAACCTGTCCCCTTCTTCCCTCCCTTCCCTTTCCCCCTCCTCCTTCTGCTTCTGGGCACTCCCTTCCCTGGATCTTCCGTCCCTGGAGCTGCCAGCACCGCGGGGTTCCGGGGCGTGGGTACCTCCCCGCCTCGGGGAGCCTGCCACAGCCCGTGTGAAACTGCACAGCATCTGCTTCAGCAACTTGTTTGGTTATTCTGTATCACAGAAACAACAAATAACGAGGAAAACAGTGATTTAAACACACAGGCACCCAACCATTAATGAGCAGGTGCTTAGAGAGACAGGAAGGGAAGGCAGAGCTTGCCAGGGCCATTGAAGGAGCTACTCTGGCTTTGGAGAGGATCTGCCTCAATATTGTAACTGGTAAGATGGAGAAAACATGGTTAGTGTGAAATTAGAGGTGTATTTGAGGGAGCTTAGGGGACTGAACAAAACTTACTAAAAGATGTTTATAGAAATGACCAAAGACACAGGAAAGGAAGGATCAGGGTGGAACAAGTAGGGGAAGATGACAAGGAAGGAGGTTGGAGGGATCAGACATGACAACAAGTGTTTGGGCAGGACAATCACCTGGCTGGGCCCTGGCCCTGATCCATGCAGTCTGGCCTGCCTTCTTATTAAATCCCATCCTTGATTACCTTTGCTGTGTGCCAGGCCCTGGAAAAGACTCAGGGTCTGAGCCAGGGCTGGTTGAGGGAGCCAGGATAGGGGACACTGGACAGGCTTTTCAAGGGATCCATGAGAGAGGAGTGCCTGTGAAGGCAGAGAGTATGGGAGGGGAAAAGAGAGTCACAAAAGCAACAAGCAGCAAAGATTCTCTATCTCAACACTAGAGAGGTAAATACACTGGCAGAGCAAAGCATCCATAAAAATGATTATGCTTGTTCAAAGTTACACTGCAGTAATTTTTGGGTGCCACCCTGGGACTCTGCTGTCAGTAGACATTCCCCAGTCACCATCCCAAATGCTGTTTGTGAGGGTGCTGTGCTTTACACTTCAATTAAATGCAGTCTCAATTGCAACAAGAAAGAAATTGTGGGTTTTTTATGTAATTACAGTTGCTGAGAAGTGTTCAGCACAGGCAGGTTACTGAGAAAGCAGCTCCAATGAATAAGATAAATTCATTGGAACTGAAGTACCAGGAGAGAACCTGCAAGGCTCCATTCCAGCTGCTTTCAGACACCTTCATTTGTATCAACAATGTGAGGAAAAGCAGCACCAACAGCTGCTGAGTTAGAAAGTTGCTCTTAATGAGTTTTGAGGCCAATCATTTTCAACACTTTGAAACAGCAAACCATGTTTGAAAGCCAAAAGGTTGAGTTTCAACTGTCTTCAGAGATGGAAAAACAACTGTCCATTTGGATGCCTAAGTGAAAAATCAAAACAATTCTACCATCCTTCTGTGTGGAGCTTTGAGCTGCTGTGACTGCAAAGGATTCAAACAACCATGGTATCACTGTCAGATAACACTGCTCCAAAATGGATTCCAGTAAAGCCTGAAAAACAGAGCACAGCAGCCTGGAACACCCCAGGTTGCACTCTTGCCGTTTCACGTGTAGCAGTCAAACACAAAGTCTGAGAAGTAGATCTTGGAACTTTGTTTTCTCTACTCTTGTGAGCTTCTACAGGCACAGAAAGGATTTATTCTTCTTGTACAAAGCTATGAAGGGAATTAGATCAGGCTTAGGCAGCTGCAATCTAACAGAGAGCCTTGCCACCAGCCATTCCTTGAGCTGCTGCCATTGAGAGCAGTACAGTATTCCCTGATAAGAGAAATACCAACAGATAAGTACCTAGGAACATATTTTTTACATAATTACTTTTTACTAAGACTCAAATCAGAAAAATAGCACATATTTTCATCTCTAGGCAATAAAACTTGAAATATGTGCTTTATGTCTTTAAAATTCAGTAAAAGAGTTTGTATAACGGTGTTCAGAAATTATTTATGTTGATAAGTACTGTTGTGTCACCCTCAAATAAAGCACAGCTTCCCCAGATTGTTTACTTCTGATACTTCTTCATAACTAAGCTTAAGAGACAAGTGAGCTCACAGCTCTCCACCTGTTAAAACTGAGGTAGGGATATTTCAGTTAAGAAATGTTTCAGATATTTCTCTTATCAGAAGTATCAAATAAGAGAAAACACAGAGTTCTTTTGACAGCTCTTCTGAGTGAAAGAGGCACCAGCACACAGGCAGCAGGGGAAACCTTGTTGGTGCTCAGGTATCAGCTCCATGCTCAGCCAGCACAGCTGAATGCCAAAGCCTGGTGAGGAGGAGCTTTGGCAGGCTGGAGGAGTGCTCACATCATCTCAAAATCAGCACAAACTGGATGTCAAAGGACAATTATAAGTGAAACCAACAGTGCCAGTACAAAATCTGCTGTTTCCCTAATGAACTGAGAGAACTCCCAAATTGACCAGTCTTGACAAAGGCCATCTCTGTAAATTGGTCTTGCTAATTACAAGGCTTGTTTTTCTCTTTCATCCTGTGAATATTTTAAATATCACAGTGCCATTCAATCTTTTTTACATTGACAATGCTGAAAAATGTAAGTAATATCTAGGTAATTCACTCTCTCAAAGTGGGAAGGATCTGTCAACTCATATAAAGTGGAACATGAATTCCCATGCTATTAATTTGAAGTGAAATATCCATGGGCTGCATGAAATGCACACTCATGGTTTTAAAATACAGACAGAAGCATCCAGCAATATTGCAAAAATATTGAGGAGTTATCAGGTAAAATGAGGGAATGCCAGAATAATCTCTTATTAGTGTTTCAACTTTTAAAAATCTTTATTGAGGAAAAAAAATCACATTAAATCCTAAAAAGTGACCTGCAGTTTTAATTCCTGTTCTTGAATGCCCAACTATATCTTTTTTATACACTGAGAAAATGACTGTACCAAATGTTCTCACTTCTTCTGTGTGTGCTGATAGCAATAATTTCTGACAATAAATTTGAGCTGGCTATACACCACATTTATTTTTTGTGAAATTCTTTAAAGGCTGTTTTCAGATCCACTGGAATATTTTGGTTTTACGAATCTATAAAGTTTACAAAGTGAAATCCACTAATCTATGACAAAATAGATGGGCTATCTCATAATTGCTCTGTTCCCACTATTTAACTGCAAAGTATGTAAAAAGTTCTGTCTTTAAAAAGTACATCCAGAGCACACCAAGCATAAAAGAAACCATAATGAAAGGCTGAAGTGACATTCATTGCAGCAATGCTTTATTTCTCTACATTGCAGTAACTCTCTATGCCAGTAATACCTTCTGAGAATATAGGTTTAATAGTTGCTTCAGAGTATCTTTCAGTCATTTCTCTAACAGAGCTCATACAAATTTAAGCTAAAACTTTCCAAGTGGTCTAAATAAGATGAGGAGATCATCAGCAGTCATTGTCAATGAGGTCTTTTAAATATGACATTCATACTGCTTATTTTGACTAGGAGCTGTAAGTCTTCTATTTCTCATCTTGTGTCTGCTTCCATCTTAGGTTCAAATAAATGAAGAATATCCATGAGACAGGTGGTCAAATGTACACTGCTAACTCGTGCCTAAAACTAATTTTAGATAGCCAAAACTAAGTTTAGATAGCCTTGGTCAACAGTCTAGAGATAGGAAATATTAATAACAAACTTTTTGCAACTATCTCAAACACACCTGCTGGTTTACATAACAACAGTCTGTTCTGCTGCTCAATTATCAAGAGTTTTGGCATCTCAAAGTATTTTCATTAAATCCCCTGATGAGTGAAGATAAGTACAGTCCCTCATCTTCATTGAGTGTCTCAGTAGCCCAGGTATAGGCAGCTGCAGAGCTGATGTCACAGCAGCACATTCAAAGAAAACGTTACATAGCTGCACTTAAAATTAATTGTGCCCACAATAACTCTTCTCTATTCAGAACAAAGGCTGTCCAAATGCCAGGATCAGGTGTGGATGTTGATAATGTGACATTTGAAGTTAGATGAGATGAATTCTGCCCAGAAATCCCACATATCATTCTGTGCATGTCACTTTCCCCTAAATATTACCAACGTGGATTTCATGTTCTTCCTGGAGTTTTACACTCCCAAAACCTGTGCATCCACAATCCAACCTCCCAAGAAGGCATATGCTACTAAATCAATTAATACTTCCTCTTTGACTAATTAATACTGTCACCTGACAAAAATACTTTGGGGATAGATAAAAAGACATTTCTGTTGTGACTCTTTCTATTACAATCTCCCAGTCTCAGCACTGGCCATTGTTATTTGATTGTTCAGCATCCTTCACTTAAATTAATTGCTTGTTTTTCTGCTCCAAGGAAATGTCAGTCAGTGCTCTGCCCTCACTTTGGCCCTTTGGAGTCTCATAATCCTTGGCTACCACAAGAGACTGTGGCTGACATTAACCAGTGTCAACTAGATTATATTGTTTGGAATAAAGATTGATGCTTGTACTTACAATGGATGTTATACAGGTAACTGAAATATATGATGCCCATTCACCAGCTTTTTAGCTTTATGTCAAAGCATTTGTAAGCAGGAAAATGAGCAATAAAAAGACTTTTAGTTACAGGAATGAGAAAGTGAAGTTTCTATGTCTATAGTTCAGGCTTCTCTACATTTCCAGCACTCCCTTTTCTGAGCATGACATTGATACTTAAGGTAAACCAGATTACACAGTTCATTTACTTACAGGTCTTAAGAAATTATTTATAAAGATAAACCCACCAGAACAGTAATAACTCTAATACACATAAATTTTCACTTTTCGGACATCTTTGTCTTCACATTCTCTTTGCCTGTTGTAATAATAGAATGTATTGTCCCTTCTCTGGAGTTTCTTAACAAATCCAGTTTCTGGCCAGAAATCCACCTACAAGTAGAACAAAAAGGATAAAAAATCACCTGAACATGCTCACATTAAATGATGTTTGTGCATGACATTGCAGGGAATATAGGGTATACCTTCATAGGAAACCCTCATTTGCATCTAAATACTATTTTTCTATTAACTTGCTGAACTTTTGAAAACAGATTGAGAACAAGATGACAGAAACCAGTTTTCAGGTTTAGTATAAAGTTATGTGATCTGAAAAGCCTAGAAATAGGAATCCAAGGATATTAAAAATGCTAATTTAAAATTGGACAAGTCAAAGATTTTAAAACACCTTGTTTAGGAATATAACATTGATGCTATTCAGTTATTCAGTAATCTGAGAGGCTGCAAGGGTCTGCTTCTGTAAGACTGACATATATTTCAAGATTTCTTTCAGATCCTTCTGACCATGAAAAATGGGCTTTTCATTAGTAATTCAATGAAAATTAAGTAAGCTTCAGACTGTATCAGTCTCAAAGACAGTAGGATCAGTCCCACATAAACTCAGCATCACCCTGGTGCTCTTCACTGTTTTACAGTGTAAAGCTTTAAATTAAAGACTTAAGCATCTGCACATTCAACAGCTTTATGGCTTTAGGAGCTCTTTCAGCTTGAGCATCTATGACTGCTCCTGATTAAAGTAAACTGTGAAAATCAGGTAATAAGCATCTTAATTCTCTTCCAGGCAGAGCTGACAACAGGATGTCAAACTAGAGCATTCTCTAATTGGAGAGCCCCAGAAGTGGTTTCATCACTTACCTTATGGCTTCAGGCATACAGCTGTGTTATTGGCATTGTCTGTCTAAACATAACAGCCTTAATATTCATTCCACCTACATTACAACTGCATCTTTAGTAACAACTGCATTATAGACTAATGTGGACTAAACAAGAAATATTAAGTTGAAAGGATCACTGCCAGGCCCTGGCATGCTGGAACTGAATGCTCACTCACATTACAATTAGTCAGTTCTTTAATTTTCATCAGGGTTTAACTGCCAGGGGTTGTGCCCTGCTATAAATCTTGAACACACAGATCCTACCACAATAATGATGTAATTTCCTTCTGCACTTACTGAAAATTGTACCACAGCCTTTGCAGTGGTATCAGAGCCCACAATAAAATAATAAACTGCATTTTATTATGCACATCAAACTGCATTTATTATGCACAGTGTTTTGCTGTGTTTTGAGTTAACTGGATGGGGAGTGAGTTTCTTGGAACTTTCTGTTCTTTCTTATGTGCACGGCAGGTCAGCATATTTTAAAAGTGTGTTCTCCATACTGTATTTGTTGGTTTGGAAGCTAAATTACAGAGCTGTAATAAAAATTATATATTGTTTGCTGCATTAACCTGTTGGTTGCTATTTCGAAGCTAGAGTAACCATGGAAATTTGGCCCCTACTCAATGGCTCATTTGATGTGCTGGGGAGCATCACTAACAGCTGCAGTGAGCAGAGGCACAAGTCCCTGGTGTTGACAAGAGCCTGTGTCCAAACTGCCTTTAGTACAGCTCAAATATTTCCATTGTGGACATCATTTTGATAGAGGCCAAGCTCTGAGTGTGCACAAAGCCTGACTGTGCTACCACACAATCCAACTGCAAACTGAAGCAGTAGCATGACACAGGACTGACTCCATGGACAATCACCAAGTTTCCCATCAAGTCTATTGACAGACTAATGGGGAAGCTTCAGAGAGCTCACTTTGAAATGTTTCTTTCCTGAACACTGAATGATTCCTTTGGAGATCAGCTACATCTGTTCAAAGAGATTTGTGATGATTCTAAATGCATCAGAGATGGGGAACAAAACACAGGCTGGGGAGTGTTTCTGCTTCACTTCTGTGAAATGAGTTATTCTACACAGTTAACAACAGCTCAAGAATTCAAGTCAGACCTGTGAGGAAATGCACTGTATCAGAACCTAGCCTAAATGAAAGGTAATAAGCAGCACCTCCATTTTTATTTAATCATTTTATATGAGACAGAAGTTTAAAGTAGTAACTCTTACAAAGTTCTAAATCTTACCTGTTCAACTTGTTTTACTTGTTTATATTCCACCTCATCTCTGTATCCAGCTTGCTGAAATCTGTATAAGTTCTCTACAACATCTGACCATGTTTTGGCACGACGCACAGATTTTGGTTTGATGTCAGCTTCAGTCGTGACTTCAGAATCTTTAGGCATCTTCCTGAAATTAAACTTAAAAAATTAAATAGAGAAGACAGAAGCAAGTGATTTTGTTGGGGACATAGAGTAGTGGATAGAACAAAATTTTAAAATAAAGGAATTACAGAGGTCAAAGTCTGAGGTTAAAAAAGGAAAAAGTTACAAGCAGTTGGAATCCAATTAAATGCATTGCTTGATGTCAAACCCAACTCATCTGTACTTTTGTACATATCTTGACTCAACCATCCTAAATTTAACTGTGCATATTGATGAATTTAAAAAATTCTAAATGCAGTAATTTTGAATTTCCCATCTTTGCAGTTGCTGTCCCCTTGGGGCAGACAGGCAGATTTCCAGATTTTTCTTTCTTCCTCCTGCAGTGGCACCAAACTGGGAAGCACGAAATGAAGATCTGGGCTGTCACTGAAGAACAGCAAACACTCAGGATGGGAGAGGAGGGGAAAGGAGAAATGCACAGTCAGTGACATGGCCACAGTGCCAATGGCAGAGATGAGGTCTTCAGAGAGAAACTAGATAAGGAGATCCAGTTTTTCTCCTTATCCACAACCTGCCAGAATTCTTGTTTTCTACCTTTGCCCTAGCAAACAGACTGCCACTGACTTCCTCCTCACACAAAACCCATTTGTTCAGTCTGCTGAGACACAGCAAACAGGTTAATCAGCTGCTAAACCTGAATAGAGCAGAACTGGGACAAGCTGCAACTCAAATGCAAAAGAAAATTAACTAAATAGATAAATGAGAAAAAATCCAAACAAACTAAAAACAACAGCAACAAAAAACAATTAAAAATTGTAGACAGTGGATACTGACCAGGGATGGATTTGAACTACATTAAAAAAATAAATAATTTGATTTCTGATTTTCATTATATTTGCTTTCCTAAGCATATCTTATTTTGCTGCTCAAATAGAACTTTTGTTGCTTCTGCCAGAAAAACACACCCATCACTTTCATGCCTAGCAGGTATGATCAGAGATGAGTCCTTTCCCAGTTTTGAAATGTCACCAAGTTTCAGCTTCATAACTAGGAAAGTATCTCCAAGGAATGAAAACTTCTGGATTTTGCAGTGAGAGGATGAACAGTTTCCTTCCCTGTGGGTACCATGCCTCCAGACCTTGCCCAACTTGTTTATTTGGCAAGAGAGCTTGAAAAGTTGAATGCTGAAATCATATCAAATGCAAAATGTCACCAGTCTTTTGGAAAAGCAGAAATTGGAAAAAAAGTCTTGCACCACATGATAAAAATATTTGGGAAAATTCTATCAAGAATTATTGTTATCACAATGTGGACCTAGCAGAAAGAAGTCTGCACACCTGTCACCTGTTTGTATGAGAGCCAGCAGCAGACAAAGAAAGGGCCTTTCTTCTCTTATAAAATACTTTTATTAGAGACCAATAAAAATATGTAAAAGGCATTTTTTTGGCAAAAAATTAAACTAAACCATTTCTTGCAGTTTAGTACACCAAGCATTCTTTTACCAGGCACTGCAGCTGTTTTCAATTGAAAGCAGCCATTCACTAAACTAAAAAAGTAATTTTTCCACCTGATTATGAGGTATCAAATACAAATTAACAGGATAAGCACAGATCCTTATTCTAAATTCAGGGTATAAGTAGGGTAAGTTTGTTTCTCCTGTGCTGCAAAGGGCTCTTTTGAAGCCATCACAGGATTTTTCAAGCTCTGTATTTTTCATCAGTGTTTGATGAGAACTGTTGTCAGTCAATATTAACTTTAGACAGTCAATATGATGAGCAATAATATTAGATCCTAATAAATGCTAAACTAGAATGAAATGAAGTGTCCTGTGATAACTTACAAGTCCTCAGTGTTAAGTGCTTCTTTAGTGGACATGCTGGATTCACCTAATGAAAGTTTTTCTTCAACACATGTGGGTGGGTCTGGCTCTTCTTGAGTCACCATTAATTCACAGAGCCTGTCCACAGGCGTTCCTGCCCAAAAAAATAAAGATCATACATTGAAAGTTCCAGCTTAGTGAATTCGTATAATGAAAGCATCTCATCTTAGGGCTGCTATTTAAAACTTGTACTCTGTGTCTATTGTGTGTCCAAGTTCCAGGCACAGAGCTGTTTTCATTGTAACAGAGCAGGGGACAGCTGTACTCCAGCCAGGAATTCAGGGAAGACATGAAAAACAACAGACAAAGGCAAATAAAGAAAACCAGAGAATGGTAAGAAAATATTCAGTTTAATTTTAACATTTTTATTTAAGGGGAATTTTTGAACAGTGAAGTGGACTTTGGAACAGTGAAGTCCCTTTGCTGAGATGACAATGTTTGCCAGCTCCTGATTTAGGGTAAACAGTGAGTGCTTTGGCCTTGGGAACACATTTTTTGATGTTAATCATAACACTGTGGAATCCTAACCAGCGTGGGCTCACTGATGGTTTCCTGAACAGTTACACAAGCTGGGAGGGTTTGTGGGAGCAGAGTGTCTGCTCCCTTAGGGCATCTGCCCAAGGACCACTTTCACTGCAACGTGGGGTTACAGGAAAGGGAGGAAGACATAAAGCAATATATGGGGACTCAAACCTGAGCAGCAAATGAGGAAAGTGATGATGAGAACAACACCTGTGGCACGTGAAGAGTGTGAGAATGTTTATTCCAACAGGGTTATCTGATTAGGGACCTTCTCAGTTGGGAAATTTGGGGAAAAGGGGGAAACAAACAAAAAATGCAGAGACTGGGACCTGACAAAACAAACACAGATAAACAAACCTCAACTCCAGCACTAATAGATGCTGAAGTTAATGAAATTACAGGAATGACATCCAGGGAGACCAACCTGGACTTCACACCAGTAAGATTTAACCAGGGGGCCCAGACTTGGAGAGGTGCGGGAATCCATGGAACTGTATAAATTTGTGAAGAATGTGCAGGAGCAGTGAGAAACAAAGATGAGACTAGACAGAAAGGAGTATAAAATAAGCTTATCATGTGTAAAACAGGACCAGTCAGTATTACCTGTCCAGCTAAGCCTCACACCTGATCATCACAGACTGTCCTATTGTATTTTCTTCAATCTTAACTGTCTCTCTGCACAAACTCTGTATTCCACATGTGTGTGTGCTGCAAGGACAAAGTGCCAGCTCCTGGTGACATCTGTGTATGAGTGAACACTGGTGCCAGCTCTGGCAGTCAGGCTGGGGGTATGAGCACTTATGATATCTGGAGTAGGTGGGGGTACTAAATTTCCATCCACTGGAGCAGGAACAGGATGAATCCTGAAAAATCAGCTACTGGGGGAGGGTTGTCATGAGTGAGGGGCTCCAGGTGGAGCAGGACTGTGGCTCACAGCCTGTGTGTCTGCTGCTGGGGAGGAGTGGTGTCTGTACCTTCACCCTTTTGGGTATACCTAGGGTGCACACCCATATTCAGCAGCAAACTTGAAGCTGAAGAGGAGAGGCACCTTGGCTCCAGACCAGGGTATCCAGCGGGACAGGGAGCCCGGCTGCATCCTCAGCCCGGACAAGGAGCACCATGGCCCCAGGCAGGAGAGGCCCTAGGGCACAGCAATGGGAGGAGATGGCGGTACTGCCTACATCATTTAATCCAATTCAGCAAACACAGGACCTGCTTGGGGTCTCAGAAGAGCCAGTAAGAGATTCCAGAGGATGTCAAGGGATTGGAAAGGCTCCTAAAGATCATCTCGTTCAGACACCTTCAGTGAGATCAGGTTGGTCAAAGCCCCATCCAACCTGGCCTTGAACTGTCCCAGAGCTGGGGCAGTACAACCTCCCTGGGAAACCTATTCCAGCGCCCCACTGCCCGCACTGTAAAATAATTCTTCCTAATACCTAATCTAAGTTCCCCTCCTTCCAGTGGCTTCTGCCTATTCTACCCTACAGTTCCCTGTACATCCCGAGATGCTCAGGCAGACGTCCCGGCCTGCACCCGTAACTGCGCTGCGACCGTAACTTCACCCTGCTCCCACCGCTCACCCAGCCCTTAAGGAAGCCCACCTCCGTTCAAGAGACGCAAAACGGGGACTTTTCTCGGGCGGGGCGAGGCGGCGGCCAAGG